GCAAAATATATTTCCAAGAAGAAATCAATTTTGACTCAAATTCAAAGAATCACAAAATTCACAGTGAGAGTTGGGACAGGGATAGGGTAGAGAGGAAATTCTTAATAAAAATTAGGAACATCAGGACAGATCATTCTAGTCTAATGAAGGCACAGATAAACATATAAATGTCACTTAACTGGGCAGGACATGGTTGCAAAGGGATGCAGATGGAAGTAACATATCACCAGAGAATAAAAATCATTTCTTTCACAAACTAATTCAGCAAGAAGTATAACATATCAAAATAATCTTAAGTTGGTAAACAATATTAGAGATTTGGTTAGGAACACCCGATTTTAAAAATATGAAAACATTTTTTTTTTTTTTTTTTTTTTTTTTTTTTTGAGACGGAGTCTCGCTCTGCCGCCCAGGCTGGAGTGCAGTGGCCGGATCTCAGCTCACTGCAAGCTCCGCCTCCCGGGTTTACGCCATTCTCCTGCCTCAGCCTCCCCAGTAGCTGGGACTACATGAAAACATTTTTGCTTCACATCTTTCCCTAAATAAATGAAGATACTTGAGGAGGTACAACGACTTGTTTAATGCCACACTAGTTAGAGTCCTGGTGACAAAGTCTCTAGTCTAGTTCTACTTTTATAATATCAGCTTATTCCCAGAAGATTTCCCATCATCTGTTCATCTTCCTCTTTGCATCTGCGGGGTCAACTGATGGTTAATATTTCTCTGTATTACTAATAACTCCTAAGGCCATAATAGACACACCCAGGAGCAGTGACTCAGTGAGGAACCAAGCCCTGAACTCAGGTAATGTGGTACAGAGCGCATTAGGAATTACTCTGCCCTAATTCTCACTAGACTTTTGCTTATGTGTCTTGATTCCATATTTCGCAAGAGTAAGATTCACATCTCACAAAAAAAGCTAGCCTAGAATTAGGAAACAGAGATGCAAATAACATTGTGGCTAAACATTCAGATATTCAAGACTCTCAGAAGTTATAACTTTGTAAATACATACCACTGAGTGGCTAGGAAAAAAAAATACTTTAATGAAAGATGACTTTTTTAAGTAATTAGAGGTGATGTTTTCATAAGAGGAGTTCACAGTAATTAGGAATATGTGCATATATCATCTTGGGAACACTTCTTGACAGACAAATAATTACCTGGGAAAAGTCTGAGTAGACACTATCAGACTTCATGAAGTTGACCCAAATGTAATTATGTCAATCACAAAGTAAAAAACAGTGTTTTAAAAAAAGAACCAGTAAATTAAAATATGTCCCTTTAGGGCACAAGTAAGATATTATCGACAATTGAATTTTCCCAAAGGAAAGTTATCAAACAAACTAAGCAAACAGACAAAAGAAAGAAAGAAAACAAAACAAACAAAAATCTCTAATCAATTTCTAAGTGACAATTAGCAAAAATAAAATTAAAAAGTAAAAAAGTATAGATTTTTGAAATATTATAAAGATCACATTCTGCTTATAAAAGAAAAATGATCAAGAGATCATTTAACTATATAACTTAAGCTAGAAATGAGAGCATATAAATTACTGAAATTCAAAAACAAAAACAAAATGTTTCACCTCTTTCCAGTAAAGACAGTTGAGACTGAGAATCATTTTTAATTCCTTTCACAAGAGACTGGAAGCTAAACTTGGTGCTTATAATCAGACTTCAAATGTTTGGGCCTTTAAGCAGATAACTTATATTCTTTTCATTAGTTGAAGATTTTTCCACAAAATGGCATTATTTTCAGAAGTACCTTATCTCAATTGCAAACACAAAAGTGAAAATGGATTTAAGTTTTTATCTGAGATCTTTTCCTGGGTTCTGTTTTGCTGGTGTCTAGTCCTACTGGTTTGGCTTATCTCTGTAGAGTTTTACAACGTTTATTACCAAAAAACTCTCCCTGAGATATTTGGAAGCAAAAAAAAAGAAACTTTAACCATTAAAATATACATTATCCAAACACTTTATGGAAAAAAAGGTCATCCCTTTACAATGCCATGACAATTCATTGAGTTACCAATAAAGACAAATTATCCTCTGAAAAAAATTCAAAAACAGAAAGCTTATCCTGATGACTATTAGGCTTCCATTGATTCTGAAAGATAATAAGAGCAAGACATCTGTTGAGTAAATGATAGTCATGAAAACCACATTTAATCTTTAAAAAGCAATGTGTTCTGGTAAGCTTTTATTTCAAAATATTTGTTCTTTTAAAAATTCTCAGGACAATGTCCAGTTATAAGCTAAATAATCTTAATTTCTTTAAAATGGGGTCAATAACTTTTTTCCCCAGAGTACTTAATCCTTCAAAAATCTTTAAGTAGATATGGTGACATATGAAGAATCTTCCACAATAATTGAGAAATACATATTCCATGCAAAGATAGCCAGTTAGACTTCAATATTTATTGCATCTGGGTAGAAACTAGCACATTCCCTAACACCTTAAAAAATAACAGCTGGGTGTGGTGGCTCATGCCTGTAATCCCAGCACTTCGGGAGCCTCAGGCGGGAGGATTACTTGAGTTCAGGAGTTTGAGACCAGCCTGGATAACACAGGGAAACCTTGTCTCTGTGTTAAAAACAAAAAATCAAAACAACAAACAAACAAACACACACACACACACACCATGTTCATCAAATCGAAGTCATCTGTTATAATTTATATTTGATTGGCAGTATACTCAGTTTACAAGATCAAATAATTCTCTTACTTTGAATTCAGCTTAGATATAGCTATACAAGTAAAAAAAAGACACAATTCTCTTTCTTATTTTTATGCCACATTGATTTTATGAAAGAGAAGCACACATTACATTACTGTTTTACAGTATGGACTTCAATTTCTTCAGCTCGCTAATTCAAGTGGGAGTTCTCAATGGACGGTGACCGGGTAGAAGATATTACTTTTAGAGGCTTATTGAATACATAGCTGCCACATTAGAAAGAAAAATACATCAGAAGATCATGACTGATGTTCAGTTCCCAGTGAGTGCTAGCCCAAAAACTTATGGTATCTCTTGAATTAACATTTTGTGTCATAATAATGCAATGTCCCAAAGGAAACCAGCTATCATGCAGGATGATAAATGCATTACTACTAAATTACCACAATAAGAATCTTCATCTTCACTGATGTATTTTCAAAAATGGATTTCAATTTTCTGTTAACACTTTGCTTCAAAAGCATATCATGTCCCCAAATAAAATTAGCAAACATTAATACTTGACATTTATGATTTTGCCATTAGAAAGACTCATATATATCCTCAAATTTTGTACTGTTGCCTTACAAAATACAGCTGTATAATTTGTTCAGATAGTACTGTTAAAAAAAAAATTCTTGGTTCAATTCAGAAAATTGAATGACAGTTCAATTTATTCAATAAAAGTTTGGTCACTTACAGTGAGACTGATTCTATAGCTAATTTTTAACAACTGGAATGGATTAGTACTTTATTTAATATAATACTGCTAAAGGAGTTAATACAGCTAAAAAGACAGGTTATTCGAACTAAAAAGGTTTAGGGAAAAAATTACCTCATTTTTGCAAAGCTTGCATTTGACATTAGCTTCAGAACACTGTTTCTCCCTACGTGATTGTTAGCCTTTTAGTTGCCTGTCTTGCAAACTGCCATGTCACTGAGGAATTCAAGGGTCTTATATTGATGTACTTCATAAAAGCATGCTTTTGCAAGCATTTCTGTGCTTACTGGCATAGAAGAAAGCAATGTCACGCATGTGTGCTCCTAAGGTCCTTTTTAGATCTAAATTTCTGTATCAAATAGTCATAACTAAAAAATGTACACTTTATAATTAAAAACTATAACTTTTTGCCTATCCTTTTTTTTTTTTTTTTTTTTTTTTTTTTTGTGAGACAGGGTATCACTCTGACAGCCCAGGTTAGAGTGCAGTGGTGCAGTCTCGGTTCACTGCAACCTCCACCTCCCAGGTTCAAGTGATTCTTGTGTCTCAGCCTCCTGAGTAACTGGGACTACAAGCACCCATTACCACATCTGGTTTATTTTTGTTTGTTTGTTTTTGTAGAGATGGGGTTTCACTATGTTGGCCAGGTTGGCCTCAAACTCCTGACCTCAAGTGATTCACCCGTCTCAGCCACCCGAAGTGCTCGGATTATAGGCGTGAGCCACCATGCCCGGCCTTGCCCATACATTTTAAAACTCTAGATTGAGCTTGGCAAATTTTTTTATAGTCTCCAAAGTGCCTACCATGGTGCTGAGTAGATAGAAAACTCTTAATAACTTTTGTTGCTTGATTAAAGAGTTCTACAGTTTTACCCAAGCTCTAAAATAAGATCTGTGAGATGTATAAGACAATATAAATATTTGATAAAGAACACCAAAGCCTTAAAATGCTAAATATCTCAGAATCTTACTTTAGAATTTTACATTATTATGTTGATTTTATACTGTTCCCACACAACTCAGGAAAATAGATAAGTAAATGTATGGTTTATTTAACTGCATAAACCACATCCAGAGCAAGAATTGGCATTCAGTCCTGTTAAGAACACAGAAAATTCCACCATATCCACCAACTACTTCCTTTCAGAGAAGAAGAAAAATTTAAGTGTTTTAAAATTGTGAGTGTCAAGTCATCTTATTCCCAGTCAACATACCTCAGTCTTCTGGGAGAAGAGATCTCAGTACATTAGAAAGAAAGGAAATCTCTTTCTTTAGCAAAGACCTAATGCCACTTTCTTGGAAATGAAGAGAAGAGAGCTCTTCAATCCATTAGAAAGAAAAGGAAATCTCTTTCTTTATCAAAGACCTAATGCCACTTTCTTGGAAATATGCAAGATATAGGAAATACAACCTTCCTGTGTATCATGGGTACATTTCCTAAAAATAAAAGACATGGCGTATACATATAGAGATTCTTTTGTTAACATACATATTTGTGTGATTACTCTCTGTACTTTTCTATGTTTCAAATTTTTCATTTCAAAATAGAAATGTTATTACCTTTCTTGCTTCTTTTATCATCTTCCGAATAGTTTCCTTTATTGTAAGTAGATGTGCTCTTGGTGGATGAAAAAGGAGATCTATATGGGTGCCCCCTAAGAGTCCAGGCATCACATATGGCCAGCCTAAGTCAAGATTTGGAGCTTCCACATCAGACTCAACAGGCCAGTAGGTCCCTGAAGATGAGGTATCATCACAGGAATTATCAGTACCATGCACTGTGCTTTGTGCAACTTTCTGGACATTTTTCAAAATATAATTAATTTCTTCCTCAGCAAGAAAGTCTGAAACTCGTTCCTGGACAAGAAATTCTTGGTACGCTTCTAACCCATGTTCAATCAGAATATCAATGGCTACTCGATACCATTCCTTGTAGTGAGGCTCAATGTAGTTATCAGATTTACACTCATCATTCAATGAGGAAAGCATTGATGAGGTCTCCATGCTTGCAAGTGTTTGGCTATGGCACTTTCAAATGTCCATTCATGCAGTGGTGAGAAGTATCTGGTATTGGAAAAGAAGAAAATCAAGATCAAGTTAAAATTCTGCAATAGAATGTTTTATGATACATATCAACTATTATTTTTTCATTTACACATTTACATTACCAGAAGTTCAAAATGACAAATATTTCATATCCAAAATGACATTAACAGCACCACAATTCACACATCTATCACAAATAAGCTAAACAATTTCCCTTACAGATTGCTATTGGATTTTCCCTTTCCAAAGCATCTCAATTTAAATTAAAAGAGAATTAGAAAACAATCAATGCCTACCCAGTCATTAATGTCTCCAGTGAGTACCTGTCATGCATACAGTAATATGCTAGATGTAATGTTAAAAGCACAAAACACTGGTCTTTCAGGAATTTATTAATTAGTTGAGGAGGCAAATTGTACACACAAAACGTTAGTTACCACTTTGAAGAAAGCCATACATTGCTAAGGGCCAAAATGAGTAACACCTATATTCAGTGCTTTAAGAATAAAAGCAAGGAGAGATCAATATGGAGAAAATGGGTTATGAACAGCCATGAGCAAGAGATGGGCTTCAGCTGGACCCAGAGCAATGAGTAAGAATGTGATCAGGTGGCAAGAAGAAATATTTCCATCCCATACAAGTAAAAAAACATAAGCAAAAGCACAGAAGAGATATGAGAGTTTGGTACATTCACTAATCATGAAGGAAGAAAAAAATTTAAAGGAAAAAAAACCTGGCATGCTGGAAAACAGGTTCCTTTTACTAGGAGTAAGAGATAAAATTGAATAGACAAGATAAAGCCAAGAACGGAAGGACACAAATTTTTGTGATTCAACAAAACTTCTGTTTTAAACAATTCTGGCAGTAGCAGGGGACTGGAGAAGAGACAGGTAGTTAGGAAAGTGTTTCAGTGTTCAAAACCCCAGTGAGGAAGTGGACAGAGTATTCCAGAGATGGTCTGAAGGAAGGAGCCTTGCGATTCAGTGACTTGACAGAGTATACAGGATGAAATTTAAGGCATGAAAGATAATTCAGTAATTTCTCTTAGGAGTCAAAATCTGCCTATCCAGGCTCACATTCCATCTCTCATAATGCCCACAGAATGCTCTTCATTCAGTCATTCAGTCACTACTCCACACTGTGTGAGATACTGGAATGGGCTATCTCAATCAGATGATGGACTTTCCAGTCTTTTGAAGTCATAATCTCCATTGTGTGGATTCAAGGTACAGCTTTATGATGTGCTACAAGCATTAAAAAGCTGACTTGATGAGATATATATTTGTCAGTAACCCTGTCTTAATTTTAAATTTTATATTTTCCACTTGACTCAGTCTTTTCAGTCTCAGGCCTACCAAAATTCAAATCTTATTTGGGAGGGTAGCCCAGAGAACCATTACCATCGAATAACTCCTTAGCTCAAAATATGGAACAGGAGTCACAAGCTAATCATACAGAGCAGTCCTGAAGAATGGACAACAGAGCAATAAATTTTGCTGGGGAACAAGGATCAGAAAAGCTCCAGCAACTAACATAGAACTGAGAAGCATGGAAGACAAAGGGTGCCATTTTAGTGGAGACCATCCTGTTCCCATCGCTGAGCTCAGAAGTTTTACAAAGAAAGTCTAACAGTACAGAAAGCCCAAAGATTAAATATGATACAGGAATAAAAATAGAACATGTTCTCTTCTGTCTTTTGGAAAGCCCTCAGTTTGAGTCATAATTTGATCCAAGCCCAGACAACTAGAACTATACCTGGATCCTAGGCTCCACAATGCAGCATCCGAATTTTGGGGATGGCAGCATCTGAATTCTGGGGATGGCAGTCTTCCTGCCCTAAATAGTATTATGGTGAAGTTTTGCAAAAATACTCTCTTCTCCAAGAGAAAAAGGAAGAACACCTATCTTGTCTGCTAGTATAAAAGCTATCGCATGGGGAAATAAAATTTCTTTTGTTACCTAATTAAAATTAATCTATTGACATGTATGGGGATACATCCTGAGACTTTCATAAATTTCTCAATCATTCTAGGATATGTCATCTTTTTCCCAATCACATTTCAATCAAGTTCAGTGGTTCTCAAAATGGAAGATTTGTCCCTCATGTGACAACCTCTGGAGACATTTTTAAATAGAATCACTTGTGAGGAGGAGGGCTACTAGCATCTAATGATTAGAGAACCAGGATGCTGCTAAACATACTACAATGCATGAGACAGCCATCCATATTAAGAAATAATCCCGCCCAAAATGTCAACAGTGCCAAGGCTGACAAATCTTCATAAAGTTGCTCACCTCATATTCATGATATCATACCACTAATTAATAACTTTCAACATTCACTGAAGTTCTCTTTTGCACATAATGCTCATCTTTATTAAAAAAAAAATAAGATTTACATTCACTTGAAAGACTCAATCCTTATGCTTACAGTTTCCTAAGGTTTAGTGAGGTACAGTTTTCACTTGAAAATTCCTGCAATGAAGGAACAAGTATCTGGTGATTACATAATAAATCACATCTGTAATTTATAATTGTTAAGTCATAGGTAACTACTAGTTGTTCATAAACAAAGTTTCCTGACAACTTATTCATTTAATTTTTAAAATGTAACTTCTGAATTCCTATATATGTGATGTTAAACACCTGTTACCTATTTGGAAGTTAAAATGCATAAAGTACTTTTAAAATACTACTTATTTCTGAGCTATACCTACGCAAATAAATATTTTGCAACTGTAAAAAATTCTTTCTGGAACTGTGTAAACTCTGAAATCACAGACCTCGAAAGGACCATGAAAACCAAATAAAACCATGAAGACAGATAAATTAATCTGAAGAAAAAAATGGAAATAAGAAGTGAAACTTATTTATAATTAATTACAATTGTAGGACTAATCAATGGCCAGATACCACACAGAAAACTATATTACATAAAAAATACAACAGAATGAACAATGAGGTTATAATATTATGTACAAGACTTAAGATTACTACTAAATATACTTGATATTGTTCTGGTAAGAGAGGCTATGTTCTAGCCAATGTCCAGAGATATTTATCACAAGAGCTATTTGCATGGAATACTTGTGAAGGAACCATCTATAAACAAATTTTATCAGAGAACTACAAGGTAATGGCACTTGCATAGTGAGTATTGCAATAAAATATCACCTGTATTTAGTTATAGACTTAATAAAGCACTCTCAACAGTTCAATCCCTGAAAATTTGGAGGGCTTTATTTGTGGACAGAATTAATTAGGTGTGCCTTTAAATACAAACATAAAAAATAAGGCATTATTTTATTAATAACGATTAAAAGCTCCTAGGAAGTACATTCTTTTATCATATACAGTAGAGTTAATGAGCAAAGAAAAAAAAAAAAAGCTATCACTATGCCATGTAAGCTGAGCAGACCATTAAGCTTATCTAACAGTTAAATGACTCATTCCAGAAAAAAAGTGGCCTTACAAATCCATGCGTCAAAATAAATTAAAAATTGCATTTGATATTGAGCTTTAGGGTCATTTGTAGCAAGTAGAAATTCCATTGAAATTCTATAAATACAAAGGATATACAATAAGTCATAAAAATTGATTTCAATTCATGGGCTCCTCTGGAAAAACAGTTTGGCAGTTTCATTTATAAAATGATACATGCAACTAACATACAATGCAACAACTGCACTTTGGTGATTTATCCAAGAAAAATTGAAACTTATCCTGTACAAAAATATTTATAGCAGCTCTATTCATAATAGCCTAACAATGGAAACAACCCAAACGTCTTTCAACAGGTGAATATTAAACTATGGTACACCCATACTGTGGAATACTACTTGGTAGTAAAATAAGTGGCCTACTGATACATGCAACAACCTGGATGAATCTCCAGAGAACTATGCTGAATGAAAAAACACCAGTCTCCAAAGTATACATGCTGAATAATTTCATTTGTTTAGATGCTGCACTCTTAAAATGACAGTGGGAGAGGTAGATGTGGCTATAAAAAGGCAATCAGAGGAATTTTTATAGTTATAGAAATATTCTGTATCTTGACAGTATCAATATCAGCATACTTGTTAGATACAGTATTATAGTTTTGCAAGACAGCAACACTGGGGGAAACTGGGTAAAGGATAGAAGGAATCTCTCTGGATTATTGCCCTCAACTGTATGTGAAACCACAATTATCTCAAAATAAAAAGTTTAATGGAAAAAATCTTACTGATGAGCAATGTCATGAGCATTAGATAGAAAAAAAAAAAAAAACCTATAGCACACAAGATAATTGTTCATCTGTAGGGTCAAATTGCCAGGTTAAAATTCTGCTTCATCAATTACTATGAAGCTCTTGAACAAGTTACACATGTCCACAAGCCTCAGTTGGGGCAGATGTAGAGAGAAGAATAACAACAGTTTTTATCTCCTTGGGTTATTTTAAGGAATAAATAAGGTAATGCACTTCAACCTTTTTATGATGATGATGATATTTTACATGTTCACAATCTGCTACAGTATAATTACTACAAATATGTGATAAATTTGATAAGAGATTTTAAGATTTGAAAAGAGATTTTTTTTTCATACCATTGGCAATATCGTACAATTTGTAACTATTTAATCATCTGCAGTATAAAACAACCAAACCCAGTCTCAGTTTGTTCCTAGTTTCTGATCTGAGAGAATTCATTGAAAAGGCTTCTGATCTAATAGGTCAGTGGGAAAATGTTCCAAAGAGAAATTACAACTTTCTTAAATCAAAAGTCTGAGGCTATAATTACCTAATGTGCAAGCCAATAATCCAAAGTCAGAATTTTGACTGAAACAAATATAAAAAATATCACAGGTGCTAACATCGCTGCAGTCCATTTTCCAGTCTCTCTCTTAAACTGTTTTTCTCCAACTATTGAATGCTTTATGAGTTGCACTACATCCTCCAACAGGATATGTTGAAGTCCTAACCTGCAGTACCAGTGAATGTGACCTTACATGGAAATAGGGTCTTTGCAGATGTA